GAATTTATCCCGAAAAATGAGAGTCCACGTATAATAAATTCGTATCTCTCGTGGAACACTACAAAAAATGCTGAGAGTATTTTTCACGGGATTATTGTCTATATTTCAGCGGATTTTATTTTGCAGAAAATAAATGAAAAATAACTTTTTTTTCTAAAGGATTTATGAAGTATTCTTCGTCAAGTGGAACACATATTTCCATCATATCCGTAAAATCATTTGACACTTGTCTTTTTACACGGTATGAATATCATGGTAAAAAAATATAATGTAGTTGATAATTTCCATGCATATAATTTATTCCCCCTAAACTAGTCGCTCATTGTTATTCAGATAGAATTTTTTTACGTTAAAAAAATTACACTGTTCTTTGACAGCTCTCACGTGAAAAAAGCTAGCGAATCATTAATGGTGGTCAAGCCACGAGTAGGATATTTTGAAAATGCAGCCAACTTTATGGAAATTTTTTTCACATGTTATTTAATCCCTTGCAAAATTTCAGAAACCCCAGGTACGAGACAACCATAAAAATTCATTCGAAAGTTGTCACGTATACATGAGTTTAGAAGGATCATTGATAATTTCATTTTTTACTACTTTGCCAAATGGTCGATAATGTAGGGAACATTTTCATAAAATTGGCTGCATTTTTTAAATATCCTACCTACTCCTCGCCTGAACATCGTTAAACAAGGAAATAACAAAATTGGAAATTTTTTTCCGCTATGACGTGACTGATTACGGAAGAATAATGGGACAAAATAATCAACGTTTATGTTATCTCCGAATTTTGCCAACATGAACTACTGAGGGAATAATGCTGAGTTGCTTTTGCTCGCTCAAGCATAGTACATTTTATTTTCAGGCGCCATATTTAGTAATTGGTGAACATGATTTTTACAGACAACGAAGTATTATTGGTTATATTTCGTCCAATGAAAATGTTTGTAGATGTAAATTCTCAAGAAAACCACATTTGACATCAGATTAAGTTATTCAACAGAACAACTCAAGTATATTCAAATTCCACACGTCGGATTTTGCGGAAGGCCATATCGAATACCCAGTAAATATTTCGTTGAAAAATAATGAAAATTGTAGTACTAGATAGGTTTTTACTACGCAAAAAAAAATAAGAATGACGATTTTCTGTAGGAAAAGCTAAAAATAATAATAACGTGATTTAGATCTTTATCATAGAGGGCTCAATTAACGATAACATTCCAACAAATCGAAAAATCATCTTACATCCTAACCGGAAAAAACAATCATAAGTTTCCACCAAACAAAATTTTTTTTCGCTTTTTCTAGCGAAAATCGTCATTTGTTTACTTTTCTTCAATTGTAAAAACCTATCTAGTCATACAATTTTCCATTTTTTTGAAGGAATTTTATTTTGGGTATTCGATATGCCCATTTGCAATATCCTACGCATGGAATTTGAAATTACTGGAAAACTATTGAAAAATAAAAATTGAAGAATTTTTCTTGCTTTCACTTTATTCAGGCATAATGAAGAAATTAAAACAAAATAGACGGATTTATCGATCAATCGGTCTGGTAATCGAAAAAAGTAATGGGACCCCCCAACCCCTTAAAAAAAAACGAAGGAAAATGAAAATTATTTCGAGAAATTTATTTACTGATGACGAAACAATTCTGTAGTGAATTGGTAAATTAGAATAACTGCATTTTGCTGAGGGTCAGTTATCGATGAATATCTTGCAAATGAAGAGAGATAGAGAAATTTTCATTAAAACCTTATTTGTAGTTGACATTTCGCTGTATAGAAAAGATACTTATGATAATTTTGCTATCTTTCTTCATTTCCAAGATATTCATCGATGACTGACAATAAGCGAAAAGCACTTATCTTAGTTAACCAATTCACGACAGAATTCAGGAATGGTACACTTTGTATAGCCCTGGCGATTTAGGGAGCACGGTATATACACGGAATAGCGTGTATGTTGCGTGTATGTTGCGTGGTAGTTAATTTTATGCATAAAAGGGCAAAAAATCATAAAATTACTATGCATAAGTTAAATAAATATTGAAATATAAACGATTTGGGTCAATTTGAGGTAATTAAATGGTTTATTTAATTAAATTATAAGTAATGAATAATATGGGGGTATTGTGCAATGACAGACTGATACGGGGGATTCCGCTAGATGGCAGCGGTGTTGAAATACCACAGGGGTCGGTAAACTTGATCGGTCCCAGCAGTTTCCGGATACGGGGGACATATCGCTAATTATTTAATTATATTAAAACTGCAGGATTCTAATTATTCATAGATGATTAAATAAATTGAAATTACTTGACCTCCAAGAATGGAGTTCATGACAGATAACTTATCATTTTTCGTCATTGGAAGTGCAATGATCGTGGCTGAGGCGAAATGGGGAGGGGGGAGGAGCTCATATGGAAATATTCTATAAGATTTCCTCTAGAAAACCCTATAGGATTCACTGAGGTAAATCCTATAGGATTCCTATAGGTAAATATATGAAAATATTCTATAAGATTTCCTCTAGAAAACCCTATAGGATTCACTGAGGTAAATCCTATAGGATTCCTATAGGTAAATATATGAAAATATGAAAATGATTCACCTATGTAAATCCTATAGAATTGGGCGAGAAGGAGAAGAGGACGGGGGACGTGTTTATATAAGAATATTCTGTAAGATTTTCTACAAAAAATCCTATAGAATTTACATAGGTAAATCATATAGGATTCCTATATAGGCAAGTATGACAGTTTACTAATCATTTTTCGTCATTCGAAGTGCAATGGTCGTGGGGAGGCGAAAAGGGGGAGGAGGGAGAAACTCATATGAAAATATTCTATAAGATTTTCTATAGAGCATTTTTTCCAAAAGGATTTCTTGTAGGATTTTCTATTGAATGTCCTATCAGATTTTTTCCAATAACACTGCCAATAAAATTTCCCATGGGGTTTCCTTCAGGGTTTCCTATAGAATATCGTATAGGATTTCTTTGCATGTTTTTCCCAATAGACTTCTCATAGGGAACCCTGTAGACAATTTCATAGCAGTCCTATAAGAGAAAATCTCATGGGAAATTATGGAGAATTTAACATTTGCTATATTTTTCCCTACAGCACTCCCTTCTCGTTTCCTATAGGGTGTCAATTGTTTTTTTTCTATAGGACTCTTATGGAGTTTTCTAAAGGGTTTTCTACAGGAAGTCCGTTCGGAAAAACATGATAAGAAATCCTATATGATATTCTATGAGATACCCAACAGTAAACCTTATAAGAAATGCCATGGGAAATTTTATGGGTAATCCTATAGGGGAAAATCGCGTAGGAAATTCTATAGAAAATCCTATAAAAATTCCTGTAAGTAAAAATCTCATAAGTAATTCTATGGAGAATTGATCATTCGCTATAAGTTTATTGTCTATAGAACTTCCTA